CGACCAAAATTAGGAAATATATCGTGATATAAATTTTTGCCATATCGTCCAGGCCTAGGTACAACCCAGAAAACCAGTCTGATTTCATAATAATTCCAATTTAAAAACTAAGCGATAGGATATGACATACGGGTCTATTCTCAGACGAGAATAACGCACCTTGTCCAAAGCTCATGATACTCTTTCTGAGAGACTCCAGATCGTGGGTAAATTTGACGGCCTTTCCCAGGTCCTCGTCGTACTTCCGCTCACTCACAAAGTGCTGCGGGCACAGGAATGTACAGCTTGCATAACTAGTCATGTCCTAGCAGATTCAAACCAAGGCATGATGAGCATAGACAAATTTACTTAAGTCATATTTCCAACAAGTGAAGAACAGCAAATGAGAAAACAGATTAAATAAACAATAATAAAGACGCTATTACTCTTATGAATACAAGAGTAGAGCGGAAATTAGTCTTGGCTGACACCACCCCAAAGTATTTTGCCGGAAACATGTTTTACCGTAAACAAACTGGCGTTCGAAAGACTGACCTTGATGTCCGCGCGGAGTTCACCAAGCTGGTCCTCCGTCATGGAGGATGATTGTTCTGACAGTCGCCGGAGATCCTCCGCTTTCTTCTGCCGGGCGTCCAGTATAGCCACTGAAAAGCAGAGGGTCAGACTGCCACGTCCATTACTGCGGCGGTATTTACCCCCAGCAACGGCATCACTGCACCATCCCAAAGCAGGCCTCCGCAAAAACAACAGTTAGCTTTCAGTTCTGTCAGCCTTTTGTAGGTAATAAGAATACAGGCTGCAAAAGGTGACAATGAACCCTAACCTAAGACCGAGGAGATATCAAATATTGGATGTAATCATTTTTGTATTCATCATTTTAAAAGTATATAATAAACTTAAAATTATCCATTAATAAGTATCGTTTTAGCCCCCATTAATATCCCTGGGTCAAGTCCTTCCAGCTCCAGAAAGTTCAGGAGATCCAGAAAGGATTACCATGACTGCCTCCCCCCACAGCTGAACAAAGGCAGCATTCATTCCTCCCTGGACACCTGAGAAGCGGTGCCCCCTCCACGGCCAGGCAAAGGGTCACCGCGGGGGGGGGGAGAGAACAGCCCCTTTCTGTACGCGCACGGACATGCGCGCACATGCAAACGTGCGCACGCGCCCTTAGGCAGCTCCAATGCATGGCGACACGCAAACGTTCAGCTTCACTCCGCCTCATACTCACTGGCTTCTGCTTTGACTTTGTCCATTTCCGCCAGCAGGGCCACCTCTCTGTCCATAAGACTATACAAAGGGAAGAAGAAAGGCAAGGCATGGCCTTCAGTGACCTAGCGCTGGATAAAACGGCATCCAGATGCAACACAGGTCTGCAAACTAATAAGTACCAGCACAGCTGGAAAATACATAATGCAAGAATGGGGGAGATTAGGGCCGTGTGCAGTGTTATGGTCAAGACATCACTCATTCACTCAGACTGCCAACTGAAGTAGCCTCACTGCTAGGCAGATCGCCAGCCTTGCTAGCAGTCATTCAGAACTTAAAGTGCCACTGTAACGTAAACTATGTGACCCAGGCCTGTGGTATGACCCATCCACTCTGATCAGAGTTACAGCTGGGGATTGAACTGTTTTCCAATTGAAAGACACTGTTTTAACAGTCCCAGAGGCAGCGTCTTCAGGAATACCACGACTGAAGTTGGACAGAGTACACAGATACCATTCATTGCAGATGGAAAATATCAGATTTCCTCTACACGTCTTTGCTATTCTGTGGTGGTACGAGTCTACATGACACTAGTCATTTTGCTGCTTAGGGCTTTGACATTGGGTACATCGTTCATAGCAAATAGCTAGCAGTTCCACATGATTCCTACCATGCATAAATCCTCTATCTTTCACCGCCCCAAAGATTCATCCAGAATCAGGAAGAGGAACTGGGGAGGATTTATAAGATCTTACTAGTATCAAATGGTGAAGTGGCAAGAATCAGCTGACAGGATACAAATTCCTGCATGTATCCCTGCAGTAGTTTACATTAAGATCAGGAGGATTTGTTTCCACAAAACTGAAATGTGTCGAGCATGTCAAAGGAGGATATTAAATTCTTCATTGAACAAGCATGCAATATAATTTCCTTTGGATGCAAACTAAATCTCAGGGTTTATACCAGGGCTATTCAAATTCTGGTCCTCAAGGTCCGAGCACTGCTGGTTTTCCAGCCTTCCTTTACCTGTGAGCCAGGTGTGAAGCCTCTGGCCAATCAGAATCAGGAATTATTAAACAAACTATTTGGGAGAACTGAAAACACGGCCCGGATTTGGAATCGAGATCCAGATTAGAAGAACCCTGGTTTAGAAATTTTCAACGGAATTTACCATTAAATTTACTAAGTACTAATACTATGCATATATAATTCACCGACTAAGCATTTTGAACAATGGCTGAAACATAACAGCATAGTTCTGCCTCACGCGGGCCACAGATGCTCACACACCAGCTCTGCAGCTCAGAGAAGGTCTGCTTCATCCTCTTGATGGAAGAGTCCATCTCATCCTTCACCACAACCCTGTAACGAGTGAGTGATGCCGTGCAGCGATGCAGATCCTTCACAGACTTGTCGATGTTTGGTGCTGGAGGAGGGGAGGACACGTTACACGTTAAGAGACAGCCAACTAAATCAAAGGAATCAGACCACCTGACGCCTGGTTCCTTGCACGCGGAAACTCCTAGTGTGGCCCAGCTTGTGGTACATTATCATAGAGGTCCAGGCGACAGACTGTGTTTTTACCGATTTTTTTGTTGACGGCGCTGGCATTCTGACCATTCTCCGCAGAGGGAGGGGCAGATGAGGATGCTGGCTGGACACTGCAGCCTGCTGTGAATCGGGCCTTGCTTCCTGAAGGCCTCAGCACAGCTTTGCCTCGCTGACCTCCCTGGCCACCTCCAGAGGCTGGGTTTGGTGCAATGCGTTTGAAATCCATACCTGTGCCTTGACACAATATACAAAAAAAAAAATGTAGGAAGAGAAGTAGAAAATGTCGGTTTCCCCATAAAAGACAAGGAAACAATCTCAGAAAACCCAACACTCAGTGTTATTACAGTTAACTCGATTAAGCCCTTAATCTTTTACATGAGCCATCACAATCAAAAAGCCAAAACAGAGGTGAGCTCCTCCACAGCTTCTCGCCATGGGCAGCCATCACTACCTGCAGCCGGTTCTGTGAGCTCAGACACGGCGGACCTGCAGTCCAGCTCAACCGTGTCCAGAGAGGCGGAATCGAGTTGCTCGCTGAGGGAGTCTGCAGAGTCTCCGTCAAGCCCGGAGCCGTTGCCGTGGAGACCATTCACCGCATCCTTGCCGTCAGACGGAGACGTGCATTCGGCCTGGACGGAATCCGTCTGACTCCCCGTCTGCGGTTTTGGTTTCTTTTTCTTCTTAGGCTGCACATCAAAACAACACGCAAATATAGCACCCACTTCGAAGCTCTGATGCAGCTTTAATTTACAGTGCAGGCTGCATCTTCGTCTGACAGACACACACACCTTTTTCTTTCCTGTTACATTCCATTCTTTCAGGATTTCAGCAGCACTTCCTGAAGCAGAGAGAGAAAATGACAGACAGAATAAAAGTTTGTTAATAAAGAAGTTGTTCTAAACAATCTAAGCCATTCAAAAGTTGATTTTTAAAGACTGAAATGTGGTACATATTCCAGAGGACTGCAAGGAAAGAGCAACACCAAAATTCATACATTCAAAACACTTTGCAGGCAACAACAATGAATGAGGACACCCGCATCACCCGCACCTTCCACGAAGGCCTGCACAGCATGATCCACACAATTCTCAAAATGCTGCAACACCAGGACAATCTCGTTGTTGCTCCTGTTGGGGACCACAGCTCGGACAGCATTTATCTGCAGATTTAAAGAAATGCAGCGCTAGAGCAGGCGAGAGGAACCTCCTTCTTAAAACTCTCCAGTCCTTGCAGAAAATACTGAGAAGTCACAATGTTTTCTGAGATGCAAAAACACACTGACAGTCTCTCTCTCTCAGGGGAGGTTAAGATCAAATTCTTGTTGCACCTAGTTATGGCTCCTCCCAGATGCTACACACTTAGACTATCTTGAGATCTGTTCGTGCACGTCAGCAGGCCAGATCTTACCTTTTCCTTCATTCTCCCAAACGTGCCTCCTTGTGACATCACCATTTTGGAGTGCGTATCAAACACCACATCTGAGGTATCTGTTCATGGGGGAACAAGCGAGAAGTTCAGCACTGTGGAGAGACACTAACATTTTGTAGTACAGAAGCAGAACAGAATTACACTGGCAACATTTCTGATGCGCCTCATCTTTCGGACAGTCACTCACAGGTATGCACCGACACAAGGCAGTTCTTAAATAAACAACCACACAAGTGAGATACTTAATGAACATGAGGGAGCAAACCTTCAGAAAACAAATTAAATAGAGACAGGCTACGATGTGTATATCATATACACATAAATTACACTGACACCTGAGAGGCCTGATTTTCTAGACTGTATGACTGCGGGATTCAAAGACTTTCTTCCCAACCTATTGGAAAACCTTTTATAAGCATGAGCAACTGGACTGAACAGGGGACCCTCTGTTGCACATACTACAAAGGTAAAGAAGGGACCCGTGTTAGATACACATTATTCTGCATATTCAAAAATGTTCAGTCTGTCCATCCACGGCCCATCCCAGCTGTGCGTGCTGCCTTATGCTAAGCTTTTAATGCTAAATAGATTAGTGATGCTTAAAGGGACCTTCCAAAGAACAAAAGACGGACGGCAACCATAAAAACAACAGGTCATACATAAGGAGTGGCTGTACAACTTAAGACATGCCCATTTCAATGCATATTACACGGTCATGCAAAAGGTAGATGTGGTAAACGTGGCTGATCCTAGACAAACGACTAAAATTACAAAACAGAAGGCGAAATACATTAATGGGTCCCTGATGGAGTGCAAACACTGGCCATAAGTATTACAGGCAGTCACACTGACAGCAAAAATTAGTATGAATTTGTGTATGAGGCAAGGTGTTCTGAGGAACATTCAAGAACCAGTGAAGCTGTGTCACCTTGGGCCTCCTTGTAATACACCCCCTTGACAACTCTTTTGTTTAAAACACACATTGAAACAGAGGGGGTCTCGTTACTTAAGGAAGACATCTGTGCGGACCCCGGTAGACCAGATGCATCCCAATTTTTTTTGGCACTTGCTGCTTCAGCTCCTCTCCCACACTGCCCTGCATTCTGTGCACACAGCACTCAAAGTAGCATGCATGCCCCCACCCCCCCACCAGCACCATAAAACCAAACCCTTCCATTTCCATGTCAAGGCCATACAAACATATTCCTGTACAGTAAGAGATACTCCAGTCCATGTCTCAGTGACAAAAAAAGGAAATGTGTGAAAAGTCTACTTGATGCAGAAAAAAAATAAGCAAGGATGAAACACTGACTTGGAACCCCAGATATTTCCTATGGCCTCATTTAAACCCTGCATTAGCTAAAGGAGTGAGAGAACGGCGAAAGTGGAAAAATAAATAACTACATATCCATGCCACAGAAGCAGTTCAGGGGAAGCTTAAAAGAAAACAGGTCGCATCTTTACTTCCCAAATTATTCAAAAGGATGCATTCAAGGCACTCTTACCCATAGCAAAAAACGACAAACCCTGCAAGGAAAACCCTTCCTTGAAAAGCACTTTTTACATTACCCCTGCCCCACCTGCTTTTACGCCTTATCAATGTTTCATATTCAAATGCTAAAGGTACGGAAAGAAACACAAAGTTGCTAAACAAATTAACTATTCATGTACAAATTAACCTGACTTTCCACTGCAAAACAGAAATCATAAGGACCTTTTTTGTCTCAAGAAAACTAAAAAGATGACTTACCCTTGGGGCTGTGTTTTTTGGCCATGTTGTAAATCAGACTCTCACCAAGAGGAAGAGGCTGTCGGCTCCAGAGGAATCGAACAGCAGCTGTTCCTCCAGGAGCCCCGGACGTGAGATTGAGTGGGGGTGTGTGTGTGTGGTTCACGCACAGCCACACGTCTTCCCAAAGACAACCGATGGACACGTCTTGAAGCACACTTTTCTTGGGTATTAAAAAAAATCTTGTTTCTGCCTTGGTTTGTCTTCTAGAAGATGCCAGGAAAGGCTCACATTACAGATGCTGGAGGCTGGGCAATGGAGGGGTGGGGAGGAGAGCAGGAAGATGAATCAGGTCAGTCTCCTCTAGAGGCAAACAGCCCATCCAAACTCACAAGCCTGAACGGCACCACTTTTCTCCTCAAAGAAACGCTAAGAAAAAAAATGCAATCTGGAAGACATGGAAGGGGACAAAAAAAAAAAATCACTAAGCCCAACAGCAGAGCTGGATATTTTTTAAGAGGTTTGACAAAAGGGCTTCATGGGTATTTGCTAGTAATTCATTCTCTTGGTCTACAATTACTAAATTGCATTACACATTCAGAAAACATGTTGGAATAGGAAGCCAGATGTCTGCGGAAACCAGATGTCTGGAGAAAGAAAAAAAATAATACATTTTTGTTGCAGTTAAGGCACCCATAATGCAAGTCACAATACTTCATAGTTGATAAAGAAATATAAAATATACAGGTCCACAATATCAATTTTCATATAATGCAGGCACGGCTACAAATACTGATTTTTAAAATGTTAAGAATGAACAGTTTTTCGTTTTTTTTTAGCATTGTTTATAAAGGATATGTTCTGGAATAGTCATTGAATTACAATACACAAAAGCCGGGCAGCTTTCAATCTCTGGGCAATATAGAGAAATGCATACAGGGTGGGTCAAAAAGGAGTATACAATTTTTATTTTACAAAGTAATAGTTCTGTTTTATTTAGTAAAGTTTCTATTTTACAAAGTTATTTTTTAAAGTAGGTATGCAGTTTTTTTCCCCCATTACTGATTAGATCATGTTTAGTCTCTGTCTTCTAAAAACACAATCTGTGCTACGATGTTTAGCTTGCATTCATTAGTAAATCAAACTATCATATTATCTTTACAATGCCTTTTTTAGGTGTTCCACATGTCCTCCATCAATGCTGAAACATTCCTGGAGTCTCTCCCTGACACTGTGACACACTTTAGCTACACACACCCTGGTTAGCCTCAATGTCCACAAATGCTTGCGAGATGAACTCCCTCAATTCATTCACTGTGTGGGCCTTCCTCTCAAAAATTGTCTCCTTGGCTACACACCCAAAAAAAAAGTCCTCAAGTGTCAAGATGGGTGAAAGTAGTGGCAAGTAAACACTGTCACGTCGCCTAATTCAACGCTGGCCTCTACTTTGTAAAATAAAAACTGCATAGCTACTTTTTGCCCACCCTGTACACAGTTTTCCCTTGATACTGCCAAAAAAATCAGTTGTACAATTAAAGCATAAGTACATCATGCACCATAAATTACTAACAACCCATTATTTACCATTTAAACATTGGGATGAATTGGAAAAAAGAGCATATTTTAATTCTCATAGATTGCAATAGTTTCAGTTTCTGGGGCACGTTCATGTGCCAGTCGGCTTCTTCTGCAAGTTTGCTTAAAATAAACACTTGTATACCCTAAGGCAAACATCTCTGTTTGGCTTGAAGACACCCTAGAACAAGATGTATGATTACTTAAAAGCCAAGGCACCTGGAGTTGATCTGCAGTTAAACTTGACTACAAACCAGCATACCTACAACCAATGATTGTACAGTGACCAGCTGTTCTAAAACTCAACTAGTACCTCTGCAGTTCAGCAGGTGAGGAAAAACACAATTCTTCTAATACAGTCTTAAGCCATGATTACAACACTATTGAAAGAGACAACATACTGCTTATATGTTAAAGGCCAGTGAGAAAAAAGCATTGTGCGCAAGTTAATCTGGACTTTGCATAACTACATTACTTTGAGAAAAGAAGCATATATCCCAAATTCGACAATGACAACTACATGTATAACCAAGGAAAATATCATTTTTACTTAAAATACATTTTCCAAAATGGCTTAATTAATTACAACACTCATTTTTATTTGTACCCTATAATAATAATGCAGGACCCATACTGACACACCAGTCTAGAACTCCATTGGGATTTGGAAGCCCAGCAACACACCACCTCCCTTAGCAAATAAGCCATGCTTTCCTAGGCACGGTGTTTTTCAATTAAGTCTCCCTTTCCCACAAAGTATCCCAGGGGAACCAAATAGCTAGACAGACATACAGAGAAAACACAACACTCATAATGACACCCATGGTGAAACTCGATTTAAGACCTAAAGTGTGCTTTGTTATTGCCATTTCAATTAAATTAAACATGCCTTAACTGAGCTATTTAGACATTTCCAATCAAACTGCCTTCAAACTGCATACATCCTTTATGAAACCATTGAGCTCACAAGAATAGTAAATGACAGCTGGGTACCAGTAAAGAATCTGCACTGTCCCAAGAGATTGCAGGATAAATGACGAGGGGGAATCATGTACTGACATGCACAGTTGTTGATTAAGGTATTTATGGTCAATAATCACACTAATTGTACTTCCTTTTAGTTAAATTGCAGTCAAGAAGTCATTCATGCTGGTAAAACTAGTTCGATCAAATATCTCAAAACTATCAGCTGTCTTGTGACCACAGCATTCGATAACCGCTTAAAGTACATCTCGGTCCTACTTGCAAGTTAATCCTGAAACTACCATATTTCCGATTACTACATCTGCAGAAACTAGAATAAAACAGGTGCCTGAGAAAAGCATTTAGAAAACATATATAAAACCCCTAGCATGACTTGTACCGCTATGGCGACAATTAACCTTTGTAGCAACGCAAGCCTTTAGCCACACTTTTACCAGGTTAATTTTGGATTATAACACTGACCTAAAATCCCGATCCTCCACCCAGCATTCTTGAAAGACAACGTCAACACAACTAAATAAGATAGCATATGACAAAGTATCTAGTTTAAAAAATAAAATAAGCCTATTGTCCTTAACAAAAACATCAGGGCACATAACCTGGTCTCACCCCATTACGAAACCCACGTGACCCAGCAGAAAGTCCGAAGTGAACATTGATTTACCCGCACTCCAAATAGCAAATCAGCTGCAAAGAGCTGCTTTACAATAATGGAATAGTGGCGATTGGATAAGGCAAGGCCTCATTAAATGTGTCCTATCCAGGATCCAACTTATAATTACAAGCCACCTCAAATCCTCCGCATGAAAACAGTCACTTTCATGCACCAGAGCGAAGCAGACACGATCAACAGACCCGTGTACATACCGGCGCAGTAAGCAGTCTAGGTCAAGGCAAAGTTAAAATTATGGCGGTGGCAACTACAGAATACGACTAAAATCAGTTGTCAGTTAAACTCCGCTGCACGTTCTTTATGCCAGTAAAATGAATGAAGCATTTAAACCCCGCGCTCCACGTGTCAACATCCGAGAGAAAGGCATCTCCGTCCAGTAACGGCGCAACGGAGTAAACACTGGGTGCATATTTCATTCTTAACCTTAAATAAAACGTAAAAATCTGTCCATCTTAACAGACGGACGTTTTTTATTATTTCCAACTAGCTGGTTAGACCTTTGTTTCGGACAAAGGAAGCAAATCTACCCCAGCAAGTTCGGTAGAAACGTAAAATAAATTAAGCACAATTTGGGGCGTTCTGCTTAATACCGCCCGGTCCTACGTGGTTAGTAACATGCACAGAAACAGTATTGTGGCTGAAAAGCATGAAAGTGTCTAAGTTTCCTTCTCCAGCGCAGGCATTACCTGAAGACGCCGTGCCAAATCAGATTTGCTCGCTAGAAACCAACGGTTACGCTCGCCACATCACATCCAGAACAATATCTAAGAGACTCCAGAATAAAACAAAAATATAATTAAAGTATGCTCAGTGGACCTGGATCGCTGGATGAAAGATAACAATCTGATTAGCTTAGCCAACTAGCTAACCGGCTAGAAGCGAAGACACCGTTTGCGGTCTCCCCCTCTCCGGTCTTCTCTGGTAATTTTGGAAAATCAGCTACAAAACGCAGATACATAATGAAGAAGGCTATTTTGGTTCCACTTCTTAAGTATAAAGTTAAAATGTTTACAGAACTTGAACTTAATCTGACAAAGTATTAAAGTCTCTCACCGAGGCGTCTCCGTGCTGGACCCCAGCTAACCGCTGATATTTTGTCTCCTCTGGTCCAGTCTGCGACGCTCGCGTCGCCCCCAGCCCCCGGAATCATCAGTGTCTCGCTCGTGAACTGCCACGCGTTGAAACGAGAACGCGCACGGCTTTTACAAAAAAAAAAATTCGTGTCTCCACGGAGGCAGGGTATTCTATTGTCTGCATTTTAACTTGTGTTTCCAGGGTATTTTGCAGTTTATAATAACGTCGTCTTAACGTGCAGTTTGTATTGTGATAGTTGCTGAAAATGAAAATCAGTATTGACACATAGAAATTAGTTTGGTGATTATGTTAAGAATAGCGTAAGAATTCATTGTTTTATTGGTAATGATCAGTTTTAATGTATGCAGTTTCTGAGAGGCCTACTCCAGTCCACATCGAGGTGTAGTACGGGAGTGGCATTTGATGCGTGAGAATCGTTTAGATATAGCAATTGTGTTACAGATATGTTATTCACCTGGGTTTTATGTGTAAAGCAAGCTTTAATCTTCATTATTCAAAATGTTTTTATACAAGATTATAATCTTGATAGACCATTTGCGAGAACGACGTATAACCACCCACAAACAGTAAGGCAGTAACTGTTTTCGCTTATAAACTGTGCATTCGATAATGCACAACAGTTAAATAGATATCAGTCTCAGCATTAGTCGCTTACTAAGTCCGAATTATACTTCTGAGGGAAAGAACGTACTGTCTCCTAAAGACAATCCGTGCTACGATATTTAGCTTGCATTAGAAAATCAAATCAAGTCGTATGTTATCTTTACAATGTCTTTTTAATTTCAAGCGACAGGGGGCAGTGCCACCTTAAAATTAGTGTTTTTGTGTGTTCGATTCGCTGTGTGTGATTCCTGACGGGAAAACTCCATCGTGTCACCAGTAAGGGAAGTGTTCCGTGAGACCGAAACGAAAACAATGGAGGGGAAACAATCATCTAGTCTTGCAAACTGGATCTCACTGGACCATGGGCGTAAATTATGGGGGGGATGGGGGGGTTGTAGCCCCCCCAATAAATCAAAACCAGCTAATACAACCCCCCAATAATCATGTTTCCCCCGTAATGGGTGGAGAGCTCAACCCCCCAGTGTTCCAGCCAAAGTTATGCCCTTGCACTGGACATATGATGTAAAATATCGACATCACATTACTCAGATCAACTGTAGAGAAAAAAGGCATTGCTGTAAAGTGTCATTACTCGTTAAATCAAATTCATGTTATATTTTCAAT